CCTGAAAGTGGGGCTGACACATGTATGGGAAGACATAGGCCATATGGATCTGCCTCTCCCTTTGTGCCACTCTCTTTGCATTGTTGCCTGAGACTGGGGCGGGGGGAGAGAAGTCAGTCGGAGCCGCTGAACACAAGACGGCGAAGGAAGTCGTTTCCCTAGTAACAATAACCATGTAGCAGATCTCAGAACTTCTTGCCCTTTCTTATGGGATTTTGTTTTGTTGTTTGTTTGTTTTTCCTGGGTCAGACGGAGTAGAGGCAAAAGAAAAAGGAGGGGGAGAAGGAGGAGGAGGAGAAAAAGCCAGCTAAAAAGCATCTCTTATCAGCTTGCTTATGAGGAAGAAAAAGTCTAGAGACTCAAACATGTCAGCTGTGTTTGCTGAAGGTGCTGTGGCTGACTTTGTTATCCTTCTTTCAAAACAAAGCAAAGCAAAAACTAATGCTGCAGACCCAGCCATCAGGTGCACCAAGGATGAGTCCAGCTCAGCAGCTTCTGGCTCAGTCTTGCCTTTCTCTCCCAACCACTAATTTATGACTGCCTTCTCCAGCAGCCCTGCTGTGTCTGGTAGCCTTGCCTCCAGTTGGACAACCTGTGGCTTGGGGCTGAAGTATCACTCTTACCACAAACAGCAGTGCCACAAGGCAAGATGGCCGTGGTGCGGGGGTCCTTCAGGATTTCTAGCCAAGACAAACACCCAGGCCCAGCATCAGCACCCGGCACCCTAAGGCAGCTGCCAGGTCTCCAGAGCTGGCCGTTTCAGTCCCCAGCAATGGGTTCACCTGATGCGTTGTAATTTATGTATGTACCCAATACCGATGAATTGTAAGGTGAAAAAGGACACAGTTAGAAAAGGAAGAAAGGACCCACAGTGAGGTGGGTGGAAGTCACATTCAAAGAGTAGAAGGTGATTTAATGTATCGGCGACATATGATGTTGAATCTTTTATATCATGTATTGGTGTTTCTTGGAATTTCTTTTTTTTCTTTTCTTTTTAACAACAAATGAAATAGTTGTAATACTTAATAAAAGCAATAAAGAGCATTTAAAAAATTAATTTATATATGTACCACAGTCATAGCTATCCTGTGACACTTGGGTTGATATAAAAGAAAGGTATTGTCCTACTATAGAATTCTGATTCCTCCACCCACATGCCATAGACCATCATGGGTTTCTACACTTTCACTGCAGAAGAATACTTAGTCCTGTTGGTGCAAAGGTTGACAGGAAGACCTACACATTAACTTTAAGTGTGCATTGCTTGTGCAGCAGGAATAGGGAATCTGTGGCCCTCCAGATGTTGTTGGACTGCAGCTACCCTCATCTCTGGCTTGCTGACTGTGGCTGACAGAGTCCAAAAACATCTGGGGGCACCTATTCCCCATCCCTGCCACACAGAACCCTTTGCTGCCACACCCACTGCTATGTGAATTTATCAGCTATTTGTGTGGGCCACAGCCTAATGTTCTGTTGCCCTCAGACCAATTTGAAGTGTTCTCTATGATTAAGCAGTTTAGAAGATGAACCGGTCATCCATCCTTCAGCAGGCTGTTGGTTGTAGAGAAAGATGTTAAAAGAGAAGAAGAAAGAAGGAGGCATCAGAAAGAGGAGTCCCCACCCATAACTGGCTTCAGCCTTGCCCACAATTGGCATTTGGTCCTTGACAGGGAATAAAGGGTGCCCACGCCAGACTACCAGTACTGTATGGAACTACCTTGAGATGGGATGTAGTTGAGCTAGAAAAGGTATCTGTCCAAGGTGCTGAGTTGTATGTAGCATGGCTGCTCCTCACCCAGTTAGGTGGTATGGGGCTAAATGGGCAACTGGTCTAATTCACTAAACACCACTCTCTTCTTTTCTGGTTCATTGTCAGTACACTTAAAATGCAGTTCATGAATTGTTTTTCTCTCCAGATAGGGAGAGTCATACATTTGGATCTATGAATAAAAGTTTCTGTTCCGTTTTTAAGGGTAAAGAATTCTCATTGTAGGGTTTATTTATTTATTTGTTTTAAAATCAATTTCCCTACTTTTCTCAGCCTCCAGGGCCTGACTATAAACAAGCTCATATTGTTGTGAAAAGACTCAGTCATCTGTCTGTATCATACGCCGGGATGTCGAGCGTTTTCTCCTTTTCTCTTGCCCTTGTTGCTTTTAATGCTGGGTTCTTTTCTCCAGCCATCCATAGTAAACACCAATTCCATTTCCATTCTATTATTTTTCTAATCAAGAGTTTGTCATGCAAAAGAAGATCTGAGGTGACTGTGTTTTCCATTATGCAAAGTATTCAACTATGATAATGGCTTTAGGACAGTTTCAGAAAGAAAAGGTGGGGGGAGGGGAGGAGTGCATGGAAAGATCCCTTCATATATATTTCCTCCCTCACATTTAAAATTCAGGCCACTGAGTTCACCCTAATTTGCCACACACATTTTCTCTAGTCTCCCCAATCTGTTCTTATTGTAAATAAAAGAATTGGCAGCTTCCAGTGAATGGGCTTCTCTTAAGTGCTTATCAAAAAAGAAAGGAGGGGGGAGGGAGGAATGTAGAAGAAGGAGAAGAGGGAAGAAAGGGATTGTAAAACGTAGTCATATTTAGTACACTCTCCGCTTCTCTTTGCTTGCACGACTAAACGCGCATTTAGTAAAATCTACAGTCAATGAATTTTACCTTTTGAGCCCATGTTGTTTCTGCTCAGAACAAAGTAATAATAATATAAAGAAAAAATGCCAGCAAAGAAAACCTGACATTTCTTAGAAATTTTCTAGTCTGTCTTATGCCAAATCCCATAGGGACGACGGGGCTGTAAAGAATGGGAGTTTATTTTCCAAGTGCTTTGAACACGGCGCTTTCATATTTTCTGGGGCAAGGTGCTTTGGCAATCTCAATAATTGTATTTTGCTATTAGTCTATCATTTGAAAATGTTGAAGATTCTGCACGCACTTGATGAGGCATGAGGATTTGCTTGCTGTTAGTTTGCATGGTAATTAATGTCCAACCAAATGCAAAAACTACTGCCGTAAACCTGATTTCTAGGGCAACTATATATATTTTTTTCTTTGGCTCTCTCTTTTTGCCACATGCATTTCTCTGTGTACATTTGCAGATATATCACGACAGTTGGTTTGCACTACTTGCTCAAGGGGTGTGCCTTGGTGGAGAAAAAGTAAGCTATGAGGCCCACCTAGCAACACAGCAACCACCTCTCTGATCAGTGGGGATCACTACCAACATCTACACCACCTTGAGGTGGATTGCAATAGGCAGTATATAAAAATCATTGTAAATAAACAAAAGTAAATAAAACTCATGGTATGCATCACGGTTTATTTATCCAAGCCAAACGACAAGAACCCCCCTCCCCTAAAATTAGAATCATAAGGGATCAAAAGCACAGAACCATCCACAGGCCAGCCTGCCTGGTTTCCCCACCCCCATTCTCACGTCAATCCAAACCACAGTACACCATCATGGCCGAGATTTAGAGTACTATGCCAGGCAATTTTTTTTGTCCAGTGGAACTTTGGATATGATACTTGACCACATGGAGGGGGGGGGTTTGAGGAGCAGTTTGTGGCATTGGGGAGGAGGGTGTCTGCCATTCAAAATGGGTAAGTAAAAAATCCCATTGAGCATGCCCACAACCATTGGGCACATCTAAAGTAGCTCCTTAGAGATCCCAGCCAATGTGCTGCACAAGATTATTTGAAGAGAAAGTGCCGGAAAAGCCAAGAGCAATACAGTAAGAGAAGGTCAAATGAAGGTCACTAGTCAAATGGGCCTTTGTAATTAATCAGATCTGGAGTACGACTTGTTTCAAAGTATCAATGAAACTCTTAAAGTTTTTTGTTTACGCACACGCGCACACACACACGCCACTCAAGAAAAAGAGCTGCCAGAACTCACCATGAACACCACCCTCATTTTCTTAGAACGACAATGGTGCCCACTTGAGAGGTGCAGGAACTCACCTGAGAGGTGCCAGAACTTAGTTCTGGTGAGTTAAAAAAAAAAGCTGTGTGCTTGTTTGTGACTCTGGGATTTTGATTCCTTTGGGTGATAGATAGTGCTGATAACTGAGGATGACTGTATGAGCAGAATCCATTGGAAGCAAAGATGCAACAGAGATCCAGAAAACATGTATCTTTCCACCATCACCACCTCCCACAATACCTGTTTCTGGCTAATTCGAGGTAAAAAAACTGCCTTTGTGCAAACTTCAAAGGTGCTGTATCACACTACTACAGGGCTCAACTGCTGCAGGTAAATGGCCGTTTCCGGGAAATGTAGTTCTGGTCCTATCCTTCCTTTACACATTTCATTTACCTGCCCTGAGGTTTTAGGCTGCCCTATCCTGTATTGTTTAAAATATTTGTTTTTATTTTAAACTGTACCTGGTTTTAATCTGTATCGCTGAAAACCATTTTGGGACCTTTAGCAAAAAGGATCTAAAGATCTAATGCATGAATAAAATAAATAAAAATGTAGTGAGAACATGTGGTGAGGATTTTCAGATCCCTGAACACTCTGTCACCATGGTCAAACTGGCTAAACTCACAACAACAACACCTACCAAATGCCTGAGAAAACATTTAGAAAACTAAATGCCTTTATTTGGCACTGAATTATATAAGAGTCGGTCATCCTAATTTCCAGAGGCTGGGTGCCACAAATGAAAAGGCCCTGCTGCAACCTTACTTCACTATATTAATGTGCTGCATTTTTGAAATGGCCACTTATTGGCTAGCTTCTAATTCAGCACTAATTCCTGGAATCCTTGCCGATTTCTGATATTTTTTTACTCTCTGTGAAGTATTTTAACATCCGTCACAACCAGCACAGTCCCATTGTCCACCTCACACCGACCCCCAAACAAGAAGGGAGTCAGCAGCACCTTAATTCATCTTGTTTATACACCCTCCATCTCCCCTCAAAGACAGCCCTTGATGATTGTTTTGACACAATCCTTAGAGTAGATAGTAGAATAGACGTATTACCTTGGCAGGCTGCAGGCCAAGCTCTTGTTCAAATTCTTCTGGCTGAAAAGCTCCCCTTCTTAAACTCCACTTTTTCAATTCATCGTCTTGAATACAGAGTTAGGCACTTCATCTCAGTGTGTAGCAAGACTTGGTCTTTATGTATTTAAGTCACACTAAGAGAGAGAAAAAGAAAGAAGGAAAGGTGTAGGCCTTAATGATACTGTTCCATCATGCTAAGCACACACTGTAACAATCCTATATGCCCATTTCCTTCAGACCTGAGTCAACGCGACCAGATATATCAGCAAGTTCACACTTCATTCTAAATTACACAAAGGTTTTCCAAATCAGTCGAGATTTTAATTTTGGTTGTAATTTTCAAATTGTCCTATCACAAACTTTTAGGGTGATCTGTAACAAAGGACAAAGTCCCTGCTCTCCACCAATCAATGTCAAGCACTTAAACAAAAAACAAAAAACTTATACCATTCATCAATCTTATTATGTGTCTGCTCCAGCAGTAGCTGCAATGTAAAAGGTAAGGAACTGATTTAGAGACAAAATCTTTTGTACAAAGCCATCCATGACTTTATGAGCAAGTTTTGAACCCACATCCAATCTTGGTACTGTATTTATTTATTACACTTAAGTTCTACCTTTTGTTCAAGAAACCCAGGGCATCGTACATGTACCTGCCTCATTTAATCCATTCAACCCTGTAAACCTGGTTAGGGTGAGAAAAAGAGAAGGAACCAGTGAGGGTTGACTGAGTGGATTTGAAGCCACATATCCCTGGTCCAAGACACTATCCTGCATTGGCTCGCCTTGGACCAAACTTCAGCTCTGTTTACCAGGTTTCTGACCATTTTTAAAATATGGTGTTCCTCTTGTTTAGCAGAAGTGTTAAGAATTAATTTAAGAACCTGAATTTGTAATTCCACAAAGCAAACAAAGTGTTTCCATTGTACTATGAACAGTATAGTTAGGACCATACCAGTGTAGGATTGCCATCCAGTACCTTGAAATTGTAGTGAGTTATAAGAAAAGTTTAAAAAGTTTATTTAACCCCAACAATGATTAATTATTGTTGTGAACCATTTAAGAAGCCCCATGTGTGCAAACAATGTATGCTCTCTCCCCTGTTGTGAAAATGATGTATGCTGAGGAGGTCTAAACTCATGAGTGTTATTTTTAAAATATTCAGATATAAATCTGAAAAAGCACTATTGTTTAAGGTAGAATTGGGTTGCTCAAAAAGCAGATTTAGAAACACCTTCCCTTTGCAGGAGCTCCAACACACACATGAGGCTCCTCAATAAATCATTACTTTTCCACTCATTTCAATGGCTGCATACTAAAAGGAAGTAGATCGTCATAAACTTTTTTCACATATTAGAATGACTGAGGCAAACCCGCATGTGCAATGGAATTTGTGCAAATCTGATTGTATATGTATTTGATTAATTGTGGGTGCAAATTAAAAGGGGGGAATTAACAGAGTAATCATATGAATATCTACTCAAGTAGTAAGCCACATGGAGCTTATTCCCAGGTGTGCAGGACTACAGCTTAGCTCTTCCATTCTAAACACATCTACTAGAGAGTCGGTCCCACTGAATGTCATGAAACTTACTTTTGAGTAAACATGCATGAGATTGCCCTGTTGGAATGAGAGCTGGCCCAAAAGAATATCAGCAATAATTACATACGATATATGTATGCTATATCTGAAAGAGATCCAGCAATCATTTAAATATATTCATTTTCTCAACATAGAATGTCCTGCACTGTGAATTTTCAAGTACCCAGGAGTTAGTGTATTACAGATTTTTTATTATTTAAAAACCCAGATAAACTAGATAGGTAATGATATGCTATTTCAAAAAGATGCCTTTCTTCCTCTATTCATTATAACTAGATGTTGGTAGTAACTTTTTTGAATGTGGGACAGCACTGCTGGGAGAAAGGAAGTGGCCTAAATATTTAGTCTGAGATCTGTCTGTAAGACAGAAAAAATGTTCTAGCTATTGACGCCTGTTTGTGGAATGCTATCCCCAGGGAGGTTCATCTTCAGGCACCAGGCAAAAAACGGATCTCTTCAACCAGGCCTTTGGCTGATTGGTATTCTATGGCCTTTAAAATGTGTTTGTGGAAGAGAGCAGTTAATGTTTTAACTATTTATTTCATGCTTCTATCCTGTATTTTTATCCTGTGAACCACCCTGAGATATTTGGATGAGTGCGGTATATAGATCTAAAAATAAATAAATGAGATGTTAGGATACAAGTTAGAAAAGGCCCAGCTTTTGGAACCATTGGAACTACCTCCCAAGGAATCTTATTTGGATCTCTCTCTTTTTTTAGATGAAATTGGTCAGATGGTTACAGGTTTTCCATGAGGACTAGGAGCTTCACCCCCCATGTCCTTTTTATGAAAATTGGTATTTTCAGGATGCTGCTCCAGTTGTTAGTCACATGTCCTCCTCTCCTGTGGCATAACCAGAGTTATGCTGCTTTGTTTAATCTCCCCAACTGTTACTGCCCAGCAGACTACACTCCTCAAACTACGTCTTCTGGCCAACTGGGTGGAGTCTTGCTACAATCCAATGACTTGTTTAGTGAGGGAGATGGGTCAACTATTTCTCTCTACACCTTGAGTCATACAATTCGCTACCATATTCCAGAAGGGAAGGCTAGATCAGCAGGTGTGTTTTGGTTTATGAGGCAATACATTTGGGTGGAGCAGTGAAGTTGTCAAAAGTGTGAAGTGGGAGGTTAGAAAGTCCTAGGCGATAATAAGAGTGACCACCAAGTATGGCCATTGTAAATATTGTTTAGATTATGTGTGTGAAACACTAAGCTTACAAAGTGATATTACACATCTATGTACTGAGAGGTGGAAGGTGGGAAAGAGACAGAGAGAGATTCTTACTACTTGCTTCTATAGGAACCAGTATTAGTATGGAGACAACCTTGACTGTGTAAACACTTGTTCCCAGCCAAACCTCTTTGCTACCAGTTGTTTTGAGTGCATCTTTTGTCCTTGGCACATCCTCCCTCCCATCCCAAAGTTTGAACTTCCCATGGAAACCTCAGAGGAACCACCAGTCAGGAAGCTAGCTAATGCCACAACAGCAGTGGAAACACAAATGGGAGTGTGTAAACAGGCTTACAGCCACATTTACCCAGTGAAGTTATCAGATGATCCCCACACATGTGCTGAAGCTAGCTAGCCCTGTCCCATGTGCAAAAGCCATGGTTTCATTTGACTTGTTTATATGTTCAGTCAGCATGTGAAGGGGCTCTACATGTGTACTCCTCCCCCACTGCAAAGGTGCCACCTGATTGGCCCAGGATTCCTCCTTATGTCGAAGAGCTCATTGCCTACAGAGCCCCTTCACAGGCTGGCTAAGCACAAGGGCAACAAAGGGGAATGGCTGCTGTACACCTGGGCAATGGTGGCATGAATTGCCTGAGCCTATTGTCTCTAACAAGAACAACAACAGGAAACACCTGATTCCAGCTAAACACAACTAAGTCCAGTGCCACCTAGTGACTAAACATAATGACAATTTATCCTCCTTGTAGCATTACAGCTATCAGAGACCTGCTGCATTAGCCTGAAGTCCCAATTCTTGCACTTATTTGTGGGTGAGGGATGTATTTTTGAAACTAAAGCTAAAACTACCTCTAATTTTTGGCCGACAGATCAAACACAGTGAGATCTCTGTCTCTCCTTCAGCTATGCATTTCTTTTGCTGTTTCTGCCTAACCTCACACTTGGAAGTGATGAAACATGAGCAAGATACTATTCAGTGGGCACAGCACCACCTAACTCTAATAAAAGTAACCCGAGTACCTTGAGTAGCTTGGGAAGTTATGCATTCATGCAGCACAGAGTTAAACTATGAGACTCATTCCCGGCTGAGGCAGTGACTGCCACCAGCTTGCATGGCTTTAAAAGAGTACTACTATATTGGACAAATTGTTTAGCCTGGAGAAGAGGAGGTTAAGGGGTGATATGATAGTCATGTTCAAATATATAAAAGGATGTCATATAGAGGAAGGAGAAAGGTTGTTTTCTGCTGCTCCAGAGAAGCGGACACGGAGCAATGGATCCAAACTACAAGAAAGAAGATTCCACCTAAACATTAGGAAGAACTTCCTGACAGTAAGAGCTGTTCGACAGTAGAATTTGCTGCCAAGGAGTGTGGTGGAGTCTCCTTCTTTGGAGGTCTTTAAGCAGAGGCTTGACAACCATATGTCAGGAGTGCTCTGATGGTGTTTCCTGCTTGGCAGGGGGTTGGACTCGATGGCCCTTGTGGTCTATTCCAACTCTATGATTCTATGAAATTCATGGAGTTATTCAAGGCTTTCACTGGCTACGAGGCATGGTAGCTATGCTCTGCATCCACAGTCAGAGGTGGTAATGCAGCATTACCAATGACCAGTTACTAATGCTTCAGAATATCAGCTTCTGGGAACCACAGGAAGGGAGAATGCTCTTGTGCTCAGGTTTTGCTGCTGATATCCCAGAGGTATGTATGGTCACTGTGAGAACAGGGTGCTGGACTTGGGCAGATCTACTATGAAACTAATGAAGCTTAAGGTTCAGGACCCTTAATCCCAGAGGGGCCCCAGAAGTGAGTTTAGTCCTCATTGCTTAACATTTTTGGCTCTAATACACCCACAATTTGTGTCATACAATTCAAACTGGGTGTTTTTTTTACTGTATTTCAACAATCCCAAAGTTAAAGAGTCAGTAGTGGTGATCTGTCATGGAACAACCCTACTGAAGAAGAAAACAGTGGTTACCTAGAACAGTGTTTCCCAACCGGTGTTCCGCGGCACACTAGTGTGCCGCGAGACGTTGCCTGGTGTGCCGTGGGAGGGAGGCGGGCGAGTCGGGCGGCGAGAGGCGGGGCGGCGGCGGCGAGGATCCGCGTCGAGCCGGGGGCGGCTCCGCGGTGGTGGTGCCGAGGTTTCTCTCTCCATTCTCCCCTCACACACACACACAGGAAATAACACAGGATCAGCTGACAGGACCCGGCCAATGGGGCGGCAGCGGGGCAGCGCGCGCAAAAGGGAGGAGCGCGAGACAGCGGACGAGGAGGAGGCCGGCATGTCCGGGCAGCAGCAGCAACAACAGCAGCAGCAACTCCCGGCGACGGCTC